TTCAGCATCGAGGCTAGAACCTGGGTAGCTGGATTCCAAAGCCTCACCCTTCCAGCCCTGGAAAGACTACACGATGAGCCTCCCCCACCCACACAGCAAGCACACAGCCCTTGCTTACAAAGCGGTTTTGATAAACATGCATGTATTCTCTGGGCAGTCTGCATCTCCACGGCTTTCTAACGAGGAAACAGATCCCAGAGGGTCCAAAGTCAAGGCAGCGCCAAAGCTGGGTGCAAACTCCCCTGTGGCTCCCCAGGGTTCTCGCAGGTGGGGGGAGGATGGTAAGTAGTGTTTGGACTCCACACTGGAGTCAGTAGGCCTGAGCGTGTGGACTGCAGGGGGGATCCCCCGCTCCCTCTCCTGACCCCCAGCCCCACCCACTCGGTCCTCAGGGGCCCTGCTGGGAGCTCAGCAGAAGAGCTGACTCCACAGTTTCCGACCCTCCATACCCTGCAGCGCAGCCTGGAAACGTCCCCAATGACTCTTGCCTGAGGCAGCGATGCCAGGCACCTCTGGGAGCATTTATGGAGAGCCCAAGGCAGGAGAGATCGCAGCAGAGGGGAGGAAGGGAAAAGAGGGCCGAGGACAGGGCACAGAATTACTAGAAGCTGAGAAGGTGACAGTGATCCACCTTGTGTGGGTGGCTGCTGAACAGGGAAGTTGACTCCCAAACCACCACAGCAGCGCCTCGCTCTGCCTACCCAGCCCTCAGCACACACAGAGTGAGAAATTCCACCGATGGGATGGGGGCAGGCAGAAAGCCACTAGAAAGGGCACCTGGACACCTCCTGCTCAGAAGGAGAAACTGAGGCCCCAGGAAGAAGAGATCCAGGAGTCCTCATTCCCTTCGGAGGGTGGGTTCCTTCCTTTCAAAGGTGATGCAAGGTTGTTATCCACATTCCCTCTTCCTTCTACCCCATTTCCTCCTCCACCCTCCTCCCTCCTTTCTGCCTTCCTCCTCCCTGCTGCCTTCCTCCTCCTCCTCTCTGCCTCTCTCCTCCCTCCTTTCCCCACCTTCATCTCTTCCCCACCATCCTCTCTACTCTTCCTTCCTCTTCCCTCCTCCCTCTTTCCTTCTCCCTCCCTTCTCCACCCTCCTCCCTCCTCTGCCTCCCTCCTCCCTCCTCTCTGCCTCGCCTTTCTCTCTGCCATCCTTCCTTATCCCTCCTCTCTGCCTTCCTCCTCCCTCCCTTCCACACCCCTCCCTCCTCTCTGCCTTCCTCTTCCTTCTTCTTCCCTCTTCTCCCCACCCTCCTCCTCCCTCCTTTCCCTATCCTTCTCCCTTCTCTCTGCCTTCCTCCTCTCTTCCTTCTCCACCCTCCTCTCTGTCTTCCTCCTCCTTCTTCCCTCCTCCCTCCTCTCTTCCTTCCTCTTCTCTTCTCCCTACTTTCCCATTTTCCTCTGCAGCATTTACAGAGGCTCCAAGAGGAATTATCCCAGTGTCTGCCTTTGAAGCAGTCCCAGTTTTCCCAACAGCCTTGAGAACTGCTCCTGTGTCAAATCCTGGCCTCGTCCTTTGCAGAGAGGGGTGGCCCTGTGGCTTCACACAGCTTGAAGGGAGCAGGAGAGAAGGGAAAGAGCCTGAGCAGGGTCTACGCTAGGCCCCCCTTCCCTCAGAGCTTGCACCTCCCCAGCCCACTGGGAGACCTGGTTTCCAGCCCCAGCCCTGCAAGGCAAGTCACTGCGACACAGGACACTTCATTCCCTCCTCTGTATAGGGGAAAAACCATGACAACCACCCCCCACCACTTCAGAGGAGTCAGGATCCCCAGAAGCGCCTGCAGGATCTAGCTCCTGTCTCCCTCAGTGCACTCGCCCTGCCCCTCATAGCCATCGCTCCCACCAGTATCCCTTCCCTGCAGGTCTCGTCATTTCCATGCTGTCCACTGACTGCAGGTATCACACCTGCTCGTACCCTCCACCTGGAGTGCCCTCAGTGCAATTACAAATTGAAGAAAAGATGTTCAAGGACCCCTCCTAGTTGAGGGCAGAGTGGGGCCTTGTCCAAGTCTGGTCATTTACCATGGGGCCCTTCAAACCAGGCCCCGGAATTCTGTGCAGAGCTCCATGGAGCCAGGTGGCCTTTTTTTCTCCTGAACAACCCAGTTCCAGGCCCATATGGATGGAACTTTGGGTTCCTTTGCAAGGATGGGGAGAGAAAGAGGAAAGAGACAGGAAAATAAATAATCCATGTTTAATCTAGAAGGAGAAAACACGAAAAGAACAAAAGGGAGAGAAAAACATCACCCTTCACCCTCAGCACCCAGAGATAAAGAACCTTAGGTTGTGGGTGGAGTCTTCCAGAGTGTTTTATGCATATATATGCATATGGCGGGTATATTAGTCCATTCTAAAGCTGCTAATAAAGACATACCCAAGACTGGGTAATTTATAAAGGAAAGATAAAGGTTTAATTGACTCACAGTTCAGCCTGGCTGGGGAGGCCTCAGAAAATGTACAATTGTGGCAGAAGGGGAAGCAAACACATCCTCCTTCACATGGCAGCAGGAGGAGAAAAATGAGTGCCCAGTGAAGGAGAAAGCTCCTCATAAAGCCATCAGATCTCGTAGGAACTAACTTATTATCATGAGAACAGGATGGGGGAACTGCCCCCATGATTCAATCATCTCCACCTGGTCCCTCCCTCAACATGTGGGGATTATGGAAACAAGATGAGATTTGGGTGGGGACACAGCCAAACAATTATCAGTGGGTGTGACCTTTACTCCAGAAACTCCAGATACAAGAAATATCACTGCATGACTATTTTTCTAGAATCAAAACAAAAGCTGACTCCAGCCGGTCCCACCTGCAGCCGGGCACCTGTGAGATGTGCAGACCCAGGCTCCCTCCTTCATCTTGGGGAATCTCTGTCTACCCTCACTCTGGTTTGTTGCTCAAAATGTCAATCAAATTTTGAGTTCCTAATCTTTTCTCCAAAATCCTGAGTCTTCCTTTTCTCAGTAAATGGTTTCCCAACTGCTCAGTTGCTCAAGCAAGAAATAGAGGACTCACCCTCTACCCCTCCCCGCCTCTCTCTTTTCTACTTATCCTCCTGACAGCCAAACCATCGCCAAATCCTGTCTGTGAACCTCAAACCTATCTCTAGGCTGTCGCCTTCTCTCTATTGCAATAGTCATCTCCAATCCAGTCTCTGCCCAGCAACCAGAGGGATCTGAGACGCAGGAAATTGGTGCAGAATGCTCCTGTTCAACCCCTGTGAGATGCTTCCATTGCTGAGAAGGAATCTGAGCCTTCTGTGCCCACGTGGAACAGCCTCAGCCTCCTTTGCAGGTCACAACTCTCACCCCTACTACTACAGCCTCCCTTCAAACACCAGTGCTAGCAGTCTGCTACATGGGGCACACGCCTGTAATAGCTTGAGACCAGGAGTTCGGGTTCAGCCTGGGCAACATGGCAAGAACCACCATCTCTGAAAAATAATGCTTTTAGGAAAAGAAATTAGCCAGGCACGGTGGTGCATGCCTGTAGTCCCAGCTACTCAGGAGGGTGAAGTGGGAGGATTGCTTGAATCCAGGAGTTCCAGGTTACAGTGAACCCTGATGGCGCCACTGCACTCCAGCCTGGGTGACAGAGTGGGACCCTGTCTCTAGAAAAAAAATATAACAGAAAATAACAAAAACACCCATGCCTCCTCTGGTCATCACACCTCTATGAACACACTTTCCCTTTCTCCCACCCATCATTCAGATCTCAGGGGAGCTGAGGAGCTGTCACTTCCTCAGGGAAGCCTCCCTGCCCACCATCCCCACCCTAGCAGATCCTGAGTCTTCATCCTCCCTCACCCCAGTGTGCCACTTCATTCCTGCTATGTCTGGTGCTGTGTATGTGGCATCTGAGGGCAGGGACCATGCTGATTGTTGCTCACTGATTTATCCCCAGTGCTTCACACAGGGCCTGGCATGCAGCAGGCTTCAGTCTTTGCTGAATAAGGGAATGAATGAGTGAATGAATCAATCAATCAATGCATTTCCAGATGACTGTGACTCACAGCTATAGCACACTCACACCTTGACCGAATGTCCCTTCATTCTTGTTTCCCACCTCCATGAAGCCCATGGACGTTAATTCCAACTGGTCTCCCAGCTTCCTCTTTTGTCTTCCCCCATACAGATTATTCACACAGATGTAAAGGGCAGCCCCAACCTCTTTTGAAAGAGGCAAAATCAGATTCTGCCGTGACCCTGCTTCATGCCCTCTGACAGGCGTCCCACTGTATTCCAGTTATATCCAGCTGCTTTCTGATGGTTTCCAGAGCCCTCCAAGGTCTTTGTCCACCCCTTCCCTGACCCATCCCCCACCTCACTAACCATACACTCTGCTTCAGTCACACTGGCCTTTGGAGCTTCTCAAAACATAATCAAGCCGTTCCTACCCCAGGGCCTTGGCACTTGCCCTTCCTCCTGCCAAAGACTCCACCTTCATAGCCAGCAGGGGCTGTGCTCCCTGGCTCAGTGAGGGACTCCTGCGGTTCAGCAGGCTGGGGCATAGTAGGTGCTCCATCCAGATTTGCCAAATAAGTGACAGGACCTCTGCATGCATCTTGTACATCTGTTTGGAGCTGAAGTATAGACTAGATCCAGATGTGTTATTTTCCCTTGTTAATTACTGCAGAGTAATTATAGTAAGAAGTAAGTACAGCAAGCATTAATGGGGAAAAGAACAGCTTTCACGCACTAGCTCGCAGAACATTTGAACCAGAGATGGGCCTCCCCGCAGCCTTCGAGAATTCTGGAGGAGGTAATTTGGCCCCGAGTCACAGCCTGTGCCTAGCCCACCCGTTTTTCACGGCTTCTGTGGAAAATCACCTCCAAGCTGGTCTCCTCAGTAAAAGCCGTCTTGGGGCTAAGGTAGCCTGGGCCTTTCTGGGGTTAAAAATCTGGATTCTGTGTGTTTCTGAAAAGATGGGTAGCATCAGGCAGATGACTGAATGTCTCTGAGCCTCCGTTTCGAATCTGTAAAATGAGGATAGTTGACATCTCCCTCCCACGTCGTTGTGGACCCTGAAAGTGACAACAGATGCAAAGTGGCCATTGTGGATTTCAGTCAAGGTGCCTCCTTTCCCTCCCTTCCCAGTGTGGTAGAGAAAAGACACCCTCCCTGCCTGCCCACTGCAGGCCCACCTGTGACTCTTTCCAGGTGAAATGGTTCAAGGATTGATGTGCTTCCTCTTGTTTTGAAAAACCAGGTTGATTTCAACAAGATTGGTGAAAAATGTCTTCCATATGATTGCTTCAGGCCCAGAGTTTCAGAAAGGAGTTGCTATTGGCAAAGAGGGAGTGCCACATCCTGATGAGCGGGACTGTACAGCTTGCGCTGGGCCGTTGGCCTCTCTGCCCTCCCCATATGTGGCCACACCCACATACGGACAAACACTAAATGCCAGTTGCATCCCACTAGGCAGAGAGAACCACAAACGCCCCCAGGGCTGGAAAACACTGGGAGAACTGGCCTTGTGAGGCACAAATAACGTGGGGGAGGAGAGTCTAATGTAAACTGTAAAGTGCTGGAGAGGCGAGGTCATTGCTGATATTCCAGAACCTACTCATTGGTCATTGCCAGCTGCTGGGAAGCGGACCTTGGACTTGAGTTTCGCCTTCCGGATGACCCTGAGACGCCCTCTTGTGGGCGTCCGTGGTAGTGAGCGGCACGTTTTCCAACTTGCTCTCTCATTTGCCCGTGGAGCCTTGCTTTTCGTCTTTTCTTTTCCGTTCTTTTCTTTATGTTTCTTTTCTCTTCCAGTACTCATTTATTCAGTGCCACAATTCTTATGCAGATGATATCCCTAAATACCACTTTTCTGTTCTCCAAAGTGAAGAAAGATGAAGACCCAATCTCATAGGGATCCCACCTTTAAAAAAGTAATGTATTTTTGCCTTTTGAAAATCATTAGACAAAATTTTGAAAATGCCAGAAAGCACAAGCAAGCCAGGAAAACTCGAGAGTAAGCATTCTAACTCAACCGTGCAGGCAGCAGGAGAAAGGAAGGAGGGTGCAGTCTTCCTGGTTCACCAAGTGTTGACAGGAGCACTTCTGCAAAGCATGTTGCCAATTTGAGTTCAATTCTGAGCTCATGAAGAAGGGTGGGTATCTGGGCTCAGGAACTGAATGAGACAAAGCTGTTAGTCGCGTAACTGAGGATTCTTTCTGAGTCTCTCTCCCCACACCCCTCTTTTTCTTCCTACAGAGACTGTCCTGAGCAGTCAGTGCAGGGGATAGAATGCGCTCTGGAGTGTTGTGTTCATTCATCCATTCATTCATGCGTTCATTCAACAATGCTCAATGATCATCTCTTGTGGGCCAGACCCTTTGCTGGCACCTGGAGACACAAAGCCTAAAACACAGTCCTTGCTACTCAGAACTCGTGGTCTAGACTGGACACAATTAGATAAACAGGTAATTACCAAGCCTGCTTTGATGAGGGAAGCACAGGGTATTATGGGAACTGGAGGCTAATCCTACATCACCTCTCCGCAGGTATGTGGACAAGCCACATCCCCCCACTGAACTTCAGTTTCCCCATCTGTAAAATGGGGATAATGGGACCAGCCTCATCAAATTATGGCAGCGACTGAATGAACATGAAGAACATCATTACACATGTAGCCCATGGTGCAGGCACCTACTAAATCCCCCCCTCCATCCATCCAAAATTCTCTTTCTTCAGACTCTGGAGACCAAATTTGAATGGGATCACCTATGAAAGTCTGAATCCCTTTGGACTTTTAGGAACATCACAAAATTTTGTATGTAGTCAGTGCCAGAAAGGGCGTCCAAGAGATCATCCAGCCAAGTCTCCTTATTTTGGAGAAGAGTAAATAGGGCCCAGAGAGGAGAGGAGGTTGAGCCAAGGTCACACAGAAGATCTGGAGAGCCTCTAGGCTCAGTCGTTAAGGCCCCAATCTCTGCAGGGAGAAGGCAGACCCCCTGCACTTGAATCCAAGGCTCCATGACTTACTAGGTTGGGCAAGTTAGTTAACTAACTCTCCATATCTTGGCCCTCCATCTGTAAAATGGGCCTAAGAACAACCTCCTTAGGGTGTGTGGGAGGGTTACGTCAACCAACTCCCAATCCAATGCTCCATCTACTGTACCTAGAATTTATGCAGCTCAGAATTCTAGGAAAGCAATTCTTGATTCTGAATCTACATTTTGTATCCAGAATCCATGGGTCAGGACTTGGCTCAGGTTCATCCCTAAATGTAAAGGCCTCTTGGTAGAAGCCTTGGGCAAGAGGAAACATGTTTCTTTTCCAAGTGGCAAAGGAGTAAATTATGATCAAAGAGCTAAGAGCAAAGCAGTGCCACCACCTCTCCCTCAGATTAACCTTGCTCTACATCGATGCAGTGAACATGGCTGGGTCACATTTTAAGAAAACAGGCTGCTTCTTGGTCACTAATAGTCAGTTGCCTCTCTTGGTATGCCCAAGATGAATTATAATGGTTTAAGGTCAAAAACAAAATACGAACAATTGCATCA